CTCCCCGCCACCCACTCAGGCCCTCTGGAGCGGATGATTTCTCTTGCTCTCCGTAGGAGAAACTCCCCTCCCTTTGCCTGCCCTGGGCAAGAATGGCTTTCCATATGCCCATCCTCAACCGAATGCACCATCTCCAGGGTTATTTGTGTCCGCCGTGTCCCAGAAATACGAGATTTCATTATTTCCTATTTAAGTCTCTTTTCCACACACACGGGTTTCACTTTAAACCCAGAACTGGTCAAACGCCTTGCACATAAAATTTCCCTCCAAAGTGGGAAGAAAACTCTTTAACATTTCCCCCAATCCGTTAACAGTGGATTTCCGGGATGCGATACACCCTGGAAAAGACTCCTTTAATTCTAGACCTTTAGAGTTGTAGTCTGCCATCCCTCACGAACAGGAACAAAATTAAATGCTTAATTTTAAATTGAAAGAAGGCCGATTCCATTTTAAACCCAGTTTGTAGAGAAATTAATTTGTTAACAGTAAAAATCTCCCAGAATAGCTGGCCTATCCCATGGGGCTGGAAGTTAAGGACGAAGCACTTCCCCCCAAACTCGGTTTTGTGGTTATTTAGACCTTAATGGCATAATCCCAGGCCTTACCTCCCTGAGAAAGAAATGCTACTTGCTTCTCCCTTCCTAAATTCCTTGGACTCTGCCTGGCCAGCTCTTTTGAAACTCTGGGGTGGGTATTAAGTATCTTGATTTGAGGCAGGGAGCTCAAAAAGGGCAGAGGGCTGGGAGGGGGAGGGAGGTGGGTTCCTGCCAACCCTGTGCCAGGATGTGTGGGGAGCTGTGTCCTCTCCCTGCAGGCATAGCCCCAAGTCATCTGTGCTAATGACCATATTAGTAAACTTGGCAGTGGAAGACACCTCTTTATTTTCTCAATTCTTTCTCCTTGGGAGCCTGAGAACTCAGCCTGAATAAATGAGGGGTTGAAGGCAGATGGAACTTTCCTATGAAAATCTTCCTCCTGGACATATACCAGGATGATTTATTCAGCAGCAAAAGGAGGCATGCCAAGGAAGGGGAGACTGGACCCAATCAGATAAAATGACTCAGGCTGATGAAGGAGCATAGCATGCTACAGAGAGAAACTCAAAGAATTTCATGAACTCAGAGCTGAAACTAACATATCAAGGAGAAAACATTGTATCTGGTCAACTGACTCCTCTGAAAGTTCCTCTGCTGTAGGGATGTTTAGGACATGCTGTTTGAAAACAAAAGCATGAATGACACAATTAGATTCAAATGTTATTCTTCTTGTTGGGATGACAAGCATATTCTGTTTTTGAATGACAGCATTGGCTCAGGACACATATGGAGAGGCTTTTTGGAATATGGAAACCACCAAATGATATCACTTGAACAGGAGAAGTCGACACACTGCTTTCAGGCTATAACGGATCTCGCACAATGCTTTTTAAAATTTCTTGCGTATTTATTATGGCTGAGTCTCAACTATGTTCCAGGGACAGTATTTTGCCAACTCAATGTCTTTTTGTACACAGGTCCCTTGCCTTGCTATTTCTTCCTCTTCCCTCCATATCGTTCTCTCAAAACACTACTCACCTTGTCCTTCAAAGCTTGAGCAATGTTGTCTCTGCACAGAGGCTATCCTGAAATTCCCAGTGAGAACTGATGGTTTCCTTTTCTGTTGTTCAGAAGTCTGTTCTGGGTTCTCCTTGTATGGTTCTTACTTCAGGGACTGCGTATAAACCATTTGCTTACTCATTTGTCTCTCACTTCTCCCTATGAAGAGGTGAGCTCACTGAAAGAAAAACTGAGTTTCCATGGGTCCATATCACCCAGTTTCTAGCAATGATAGTGCACATAAAGATAATAAGATTAGCAACAGTGTATGGAATATTTCTCCCTTTACAACTGTCTTTACAGTCATCTCATTTAATCATCTCAGCAATTCTCTGAGCTAAATCTTGCTCAATTTTTTTTATTACCTCCATTTTACTGACTAAGATATTGAGCCTCCACTTGGCTAACTTGCCCAGGATCTCATCCGATAGCAAAATTCCAGCAATTAAATTTATATTGTATAAATCTAGCATCTACATGTTTAATAAAAATGCTGTCACAAGCAGTCAACACATTTGACTTAATTTGAATAGGACTGATAGACATGCAAATGTCAAATATATTTTGACTTTCCAAGTGCAAATTAAATAAGAGACTTCTGAGATGTTTAGGCTTTGAGAAGTCTGGTAGGATGACTCCGAATGGATGATGGTAGCAGAACGAATTCTTGTTTAGACAGAGGGTCTGTTAGGTTTTGTTCAGTTCAAACCATAGACATTATTTCTACAGTCTGTGAAAAAGCAGATTTTTCACGTATTAGATTTAACGAAAATAAACTAATTGTTGTACTTCATTTAGGTAGCGATGGTAAATGAAGAAACATCCTCCTGTCTCATTGGAAAATAACATATTTGTTTCATGATGGTGCTGCATGCCCTTGGCCACTTTTATAGTAGATATGTTTAAGAAAGGGAATTTTGTTTCTCTACAATGCATCTTTGACTTTCAAGGTTAACTATTTTAATATATGAACTCAATTTCTATAAGAGCTGTGCCCTTTGCAGAAGACCCATAGAAACCCTAACACTCACTGAAGACATATAAAATATTCACATGTAAAAGAAAAGATGGACTCAGTTCAGGAAGAGGACCTGAAACCAGAGAGATCCTATTTCCAAAGGGAACGAGGGTGTTTATGACAAGGCAGCTTTCAAAGCTGGAAGTCCTTAAAGGAAAAGTACATGAAATTGTCTAAGAGGACAGATCTTAAATTCTCTCACATAGACAAAGGAAAAACACAACAACAAAGAAAATGGTACCTCTGTGAGGTGACAGATATGTTAATTACTTGATTGTGATGAACTCATACGGTATATCAAAACACCAAGTTGTATACCTTAAATATATATAATATATATATATATATATATAAAACCTCAACAAAACTGGGGGAAGGAGAATAAAAGGGACATCCTTGCTTTACCTGGAGCACTGCTCTTAGGAAATATCAGAGGCATTAACTGCTTTGACAGAACTCCAGGAAAAGTCAATGTCTAAACTAAGTAGGGTTCAGCCATGGAAATGGCCGAAGAGTGAAAACTACACACGCGCATTTCATCTGTAATGCAGCACAATAGACAACAGAAAAGCCAAAACGTCTCCTTCATTCCCATCATGTATTTTCTTTGCTTTGTGAAACATAAGACAGGGAAATTTTTGTATACATTTTGGATCCTCACGGGAACTAGTTTAAATTAGATTTTGGTGCCTGAGAGAAGAGCGTCTCATCAGTGGGAAAGCAATTCTGAGACAGCGTATTTATATGCAGAATTCATCAGTCAGGCAAGTCAGAGGAAGACATCGTCAGAGAAAGACATCTTCAAGGGAGATAGACTTAAGCATAGTTTTCTTCTCCTTAAAAGATGATTCTCTTGTCTCTGGTGTAACTAGAATATGAACTTACTGTGACATCACTTATGAAGACTTCACTTACTGAAATAACAGGAACATACACACATGCTCAGCCCATTGAAGAAACTATTAAGAAGCGACTTAAAAGAAGCAGTA